GCAAAAAAGGTGTGTGTGGAAGATCGGGAGTCCTGGGTAGCTTCTCAAATGGAATCCAAATAGGAAGGGCTGGTTTTCCTCACATTGAGATAAGAAAAATGGAAATTACAAGGTTCTTTGGTTTCTCTCCATTCATCAGCTTCACAGCTGGTTTGTTTGGCTTTTTCCAAGTGATTAGTGTTGCCTTTACAGAAGGACACAATCTTTTATCTAATGTTCAGCTGGACAGGCCTCTGATCAGGCCTCTTTATCATGTCTGCTCCCTGGCTACATGGTGTGTGGCTGATAAGGCACTCTTGCAAGGCACTCTTGCAGGTGGAATTGGGCTAAGACGTCAAGTGGACTCAGGGCCGGGCCACAGGGCATGGAAGCCTGTGTCCTCACACAGATCACATCATTTCACTACCAGCTGAAGGCCTTGTGCTCTTATTCTTCTTTCTAGGGAAACCCATTAATGGAAGGAATCACCTTTTTTTTTTGTTTTTGTTTTTTGTTTTTTAAATCTTTTTTTATTTTATTGATATTTATTTTATTGATATTTTACAGAGAGGAAGGGAGAGAGATAGAGAGCTAGAAACGTCTATGAGAGAGAAACATCGACCAGCTGCCTCTTGCACACCCCCTACCGGGGATGTGCCCGCAACCAATGTACATGCCCCTTGACCGGAATCGAACCTGGGACCTTTCAGTCCGAAGACCAATGCTCTACCACTGAGCCAAACCGGTTTCGGCGGAATCACCTGTTTAAAAGATTGTTACCTCGCCTTCACCAAAATCAGTGTGAGGCAAGGAGGAATAAAGAGATACAGGGGGAGAGAGGGAGAAGGGACAACAGAGAAAGGAGGAGGAGGTTCTGTGAAAGGCAAGGAGCCTTGGATTCTCGTGTCTTCTCTTCCATTTCCCCCCCCAATCTTTTCTTCTGACAACCCAAATCATTTTGATTTTTTGATATCCATCTCATAAATACCAGTAATTTACCCATGAGCCCCTGAAAATACGTTAATTTGTCCAAATCAGAAGAACCATCCTCAGGCCACATCAAGACTGGAATCGGACATACCCACCCCAAATGTGACAGCAAGATAACACCCCTTTAACAGAAAGACCTGCAGGACACTTTCCCAGCCTCCCATCTTGTTCAACATTCAGGTGATCCTGACAGGATTTCAGAGCCTATATTTTCCGTGCTGCTCGGTAGTAACAGTGAATGTGGAGAGGGTAGTTATTCTGGCTAATATTTCAAACAGCAGAGGACTGGAAGGAAGAGTATTGATTTCAGGGTCACTTACCTGACTCTTGTGTGCCCACAGAACTTCAGCCGGTTCACTAAATTCAGGAACTGCCAGACATAGGAAGAGGACACTGACCTTTCTGTCACCTCAGTGGGGCACTTCATTTCAGTCAAGAGATGGGGTGGACCAATCCCCATTTCTGCTAGGATTAGGGTATAGTCTTCCTTTAACCCAATTCCTCTTGTTTTGCTTTTTTTAAAACATACTTTATTGATTTCAGAGAGGCAGGGAGAGGGAGAGAGCGATAGAAACATGGATGATGAGAGAGAACCATTGATTGATTGTTTACTGCACGTTCCCTACTGGAGATTGAGCCTGAAACCTGCGCACGTGTCCTTGACTGGAATCGAACCCAGGTTCTTTTAATTCACAAGCTGATGCTCTATCCACTGAACCAAATCGATGTGTGTGAAAGTGGATAATAATTGTGAGCCTTATGTTGCAATTAGTGAGGACCCAGAGGCTGGCGAACTGCTCTTTATCACTAATTCTGACAGCCTTAGTAAAGGCTCCCAAAGGAACAGTTGTTAATGGAGAAACAAACTAACTCAGTACTGAGCCATATATTCTTAGTTTCTGACTTTTTAATGTAGATAAACTATTGGGCTCTCTTGCATTTCAGCCACTCCAGCTTCAGCCTGGACATCACCTTCATCACAGGCTAAAAGATGGTGCCATTTTATGGCTCAGAGTGTTTTTCTTCCCTCAAGGAGTCAGTCCTGTGCTTCCTGAAAACCATTCCTGGGTGGGAAGGAATATTTAATCCCTGCCACTCCATCTTGGTCGTTGACTAGTAATGTAGACAGGACTTTGCTTACACAATGAAAAGAATCATATTCTCTTAGTGAATAAATTTTCTAAAAATAAGATAGGAAACTTCACAATGTTTTTCATAGATTCAGGATGCACTGCACAGCTATTACTTGGGTTACAAGTTAATCTTGACTGAGAGGGTGGTGTAAAAAAGTTAATATATATATAATATATATATATTTCTTGCTTATATACTTATAAAATCTAACTTAAAGTCTTTCATATATATGTTCTTTTTAGGCATATATATTTTTTATTTTAGGCATAGATATTTATTTTTATTTAATTAATTAATTTATTTTTACATATTTTCTTTTTTATTGTTTGAAGTATTACAAATAATAGTTCATATGTCTCCCCCCCCCCCCCCCCCATTGACCTCCTCCCAGCATCCCCTATCTCCCAGTACATGCCCTTACCTGTATATTATTTAGATGTTTGTTTGTTTTTTAAAATATATTTTATTGATTTTTAACAGAGAGGAAGGGAGAGGTATAGAGAGCTAGAAATGTCTATGAGAGAGAAACATCGTCCAGCTGCCTCCTGCACACCCCATGTACATGCCCTTGACCGGAATCGAACCTGGAACCTTTCAGTTGGCAGACTGATGCTCTACCACTGAGCCAAACTGGCTTTGGCTATTTAGATGTTTTCAAGAGCTGACTTAGTCAAAGAACTTTACATTTTAAATATTGTTTTGATTTTTCTCTGTCTAATTCCCAAGAAATGTAAATGCATTACTCCCCTACTCTCAGTAGATAAGTATCTTTCATGATTAATTCCAATTCGGTTAAAGAGATACTGATTAACTTTTAGAAGAGAAAGCCTTAATAAAAAAGTGCCTGAAAATGGGCATAAGTAACACCCATGCCTAAAATAAGGCATGGAACCCCTTGAGTTCATTCATTTTACAGCATCTTTTTGGTTAATAAGAAAATCAGTTATGGGGAAAGCAATACTGAAGAGTCAACTAACAGCCTAGTTCAAAAGGAAGACAAATCACTCCTGCTGTTACAGAAGTACCTCTTAACATGATTTTGCTTAATTCTGACTCTTCGGCTTAAGCAGAAATTCCAGCAAAACGGAGTGATTCCATTTTAATTATGACCTACTTTCAAGCCTTGTAGATTGGCAGAACTCCATGAACATAATAAGTAGTTGTATCCCCTGGAATACGTTTGAGCTAGCCATAGTTATTGCACACACATTCAATGAATATTTCAAATCAAAGCCGCTTGTTCCATGAATAGGTTAAGTGAAGATCAATTTACATCATTTCACTACTCTTCTCCTGCAGTTCTCAAATGCGAGAGCAAAATGGGTAATTTCTCACTGTAAATAGGGCGAATAAAGATGTTGCAACCCAACCATTTCAATATAAAGGCATTATATATTCTTTCCTAGTCTTGGATTGATTGCCAGACATATGGCTTCTACAGTTATCTTACATTTTAGGTGACTTGCTTATATTGAATTGGGGGACAAGGAGGGTAAAATTTACACATGTCTTTTTCTCAGCAGCTCAGCCAGAAAACAATTCATATTGGAGGAAGTATATTCAAAATAATATGATTTTTAATTTTATTTTTGAGTGTCAATGACCCATGTTATTTCTCTTCTCCTAGTGGATAATTAAGATCTGATTTTCTTACTAGTATGGTAACTAATCACTTCGATGCACATATAAACTGAGATTATAAAGAAAAGTAAGATGAAGTGTTGAGTAAACACTATTTTAGGTAAAATCAATATAAACTGTACACTGAGTTCAATCAAGTGAACTTTTTATTTTATTTTATTTTATTATTTTTTAAAAAATATATTTTTATTGATTTTTAACAGAGAGGAAGGGAGAGAGATAGAGAGCTAGAAACGTCAATGAGAGAGTAACATCGACCAGCTGCCTCTTGCACACCCCCTACCGGGGATGTGCCTGCAACCAAGGTACATGCCCTTGACCAGAATCGAACCCGGGACCTTTCAGTCTGCAGACCGACGCTCTACCACTGAGCCAAACCGGTCTCGGCTCAAGTGAACTTTTAAACAAGAATATAGCTAATCAATAATTACACAAAAATATTTTCATACATCAATGAAGATGAAGAAAAGATTTGGCATGAAAAACTTAAGAATTTACCTGCCTAAAGTTTAACATGATGTCAAGGAAAGTATGCCTGACAACTTTTTATTATAAGCAGATTCTTCTTTTCTCAAAAATGATCAACTAAAGAAAATTGCTTTTCAGTTTTGAATCTTCATTTCAAATCAAGGAGCAAAGCTTAAACGTAATATAAACTCAGTAACCTCTTGTTGAAAAAGCCTCAGCCAGCTGGAATTCTGACCCAGACTTTCTTCACAGACCAGATGACCTTGACTCTGCTTTACTGAGAACTGGACATGATGTTCTGCAATATCTCCCTTTTGCCTTTTTTAAATACCTCTCAATCTATCTGTTTACTCCTATTCTCATAAGTTAGTAACTGAGCTCAGTTGCTATAATGCTAGTAGCTGTCAAACACATTGCCAAGACAATTGTCCTAACACACAGCTAGAGCATGAAAATGACTGATGCAACTCCTCTACTGGCTCCTAACTATTCATGGGTGGATTCCATCATCATAAATGTGATATACAGGGTAGCCTTATCTTTTCTTAACAGATTTTTCATTTGCCTCAATTTTTCCCATATACTAGTACACACAAACACAGCCTCTCTACTCAAGTCACACTGAATGATTGCTTTTTATACAAATCATAGTAATTCTGCCAATTTGGGGGCAGAACACCTTGTGGATTAAACGCCAGAGTATACTAATTTGAAAAAAGTTTTTTAAAACCTTTTGGGAAAAAAAATACTTCTCTGGCTTTGAAAGACCCCCAGAGGGAGACCCTCACTCTGTCCCACGGACAGACGGCGACCCCAATCAACCGCAGGAGGCGTCACTTGATGCAAACAGCAAGAGGCTTTATTCCAGCGCGCTGGGGCTCAACTCGTAACTCACGCAGGAGCAGAGGAGTCGAGCCCCGAGCAGAAAATCTTACAAGTATATATAGGCAAAAACTATGTCGGGAGGGGTTACACCCGGAGGGGGAAGAGGGGAACAAAGGAATTCTAAAAGGGGAGACTGGGTTTGTTAACATATTTTATGACAGGGCTTGCGCTAAGTCAACAGTCCTGTCCGGTAATCTCGCACTCTATTTCACTTTGAACTGTCAAAGCAAGGTTTACTCTGTTATCCTGTTTCTCTTATCTTGTCGGAGTAGACCTTGCTCTGTTTACTCCCTGCTCGGGGCTATTTCCTGAGACAACTTTAAGGGTCCTGTTCCCATCACTGGCGGGGGCCTTGGATAGTTGAGATAACACAGACAGCTTTTAAACATTTTTATTCTTTCATTCCCCCATTTGCTTTTTGGTAAGTTCTAATCATGGAACTTTTGTCTCTATATATTCTTCTCTGAGGCTATCTCCCTGGCTGAGGGACTGGTAGTGCTGCCTGAGTATTAATACCTGTACAGCACTTATTCTCTCCCTGATGAAGGTGACTAGGCGATTTAAGATACAGGGCCCAAAAGTGAGAATTAAAAGCAGTATAATAAGGGGACCCATCAGGGTGGATATGAGGTTGGTGAACCAAGGGCACCGGCTGTACTAACTCTCAAACCACCCTTGATGCGCCTCCCGATCTCGTTGCTTTGTTTCTAATTTTTCTCTAAGTTGGCTGAGGCTCCCCTTTATGACTCCAGCGTAAAAAAATATAGGTCTAAACCCCATCTATTCTGGAGAACAATTTTAGCTAGGGAGCTCAGTGACCCTTCTAACTTGCTGATTGTACTTTCAATAGTGCTAAGGTCAGTATCTATCTGTTGGCTCAATTCTTTTTAGTCCTGGTTCCCCTTAACTAGGGCTGATGTTCCTACAGCCATTGATCCTGCAATTCCAATTCCCAGTAAAAGGGGAATAAGGACTGGAGCCCTCTTAACTGCTATAGCTATTATTAAGGTCATTAACCAGGGGGGCCAGGAAAATAAGTTTTCATACCAATTTCCTTCTTGCCTTCTCTATTCCTCTCTTTCTGCTCTCTTATTACCTTGCACATGTAACTTTACTTAGCCCCAGACTTCCTCACTGGCTAGCAAAAATGTTCTTACAGTTACCAAAACCTCCAGTACCACAGTTCCCATTAGTACTGTCTTCACTGAAGTCCAGTTCCCCTCCTGCAGGCATCAAGTCTCCTCCTGGCCTGTGTGGAGCCCAGGCTAGGGATCTCGCGGGTGAGGCTGCTAGTTGCCAGGATCCAGGTTGTTTTCTGTGCAGGAGCTGGGAGTGGTGTAGCCAGGTCTGGGTGCCATCTACTTCAACAGTCGTGGGCGTGCTCAGGATAACAGTGCAGCATCCCTTTGAGTCCTTGGGCAGCAAATTTCTTTACCCACATTGAGTTCTGGGGCTACAGGGTCTGCGGTGGGCACTGGCAGTGCATCTGGAACAAGCAAACTGCAGAGCCTGTAATGTAAGGCCTTGAGCAAGGAAATGGTTACCATACATGATCCCCTCCCAAAAAGGGGAAACTTGTCCCAGTAAGGGGTACACTTGGCCCTCAAGAGGGCAAAGGACAGGGGGTTGGTCCAATTTTCACCGATTCTAAGACACATTTAGTTAAACCCCCTTCCTCCCGAGTCACACCTACCTGTCCTAAGGCTAGAGCTATACTCTGAGATACCTTAGCTACCAAGGTGGGGCTGTTATCAGATAGTGGGGTATATCTCAACCTAGTCTGAAGTGTCTATAAAAATTAGACCTTAATGCTGGTGGTTTAATCTCTGAAATCCACCTACCAATGCTCTCCTGGGGAGGTTCCCTGGGACCTGAATTCCCAGGGGGGATCCCCTTACCTTGCTTAGCATTTACCTGTGCACAGACAGTACTTCTAGCAACTCTGCCTCAAAGAAGTTCAGAAGGCTTGGTGACACTTAACCTGGTGTCACCGGGCAACTCTGACCTAGAGCCTCTGGGACCAACAGTCTTGTCATCTGGAGGGTACATCAACCATCTGGTCCTTCAGTGGCTTGCTTCTGTTCAGCCAATTCCTTCTGGCTGCAGTTAGTAACCCTCTTTCCTCTGTGGATGGCCCAGTGTCTCCATCAAAGGGCCTGGATTAAGGCCAAAAGTTCTGGAGCTGTTCCCAAATGGTGTGGTCCAGGGTGACTACCACTGCCCCTGCATATCAGGTCCCATCCTGAACGTAACTGCTCCCATCCGTGAACAGTACCTTGTCGTCTGTTACCTCTGTGTAGTCATGAATGGGTTCCATCATCATCATCTGGAAGCAGGCCGGCAGGGTTGTTGGCCAGTGTCTTATGGAACCGGACGCATGGCTGGTCCAGGAGAAGAGCGTGGCACTGGGTGATATTTGACATCCATCTCTCTGGAGCACCTCAAAGGAAGGCCTCAACAGCATGGGGTGTTGTCAGGGCTAGCTCCTGGCCCAGAGTCTGCTTATCTGCCCCCTTCATAGTCTCTTAGACAGATAGGCAATAGGTCTCTTCCAGGAACCTAGAGACTGAGTGAGAATCCCTTTGGCAATGCCCTTTACCTCACTCATATAAAGGTGGAAGGGCTTCGTAACATCTGGCAAGGCTAGGGCAGGTGCTGAGACGAGAGCCTTCTTTAGCTCCTCAAAGGCCTGTTGTTCTACTTCAGTCCAGTTCAGCGGCTGCGTTCCTCCAGTACGTGTTCCTTCTTAGGTCTACAGTCCTTCTTGATGTCCAAGGAAAACAGTCAGTTTGTCTGGTGACTCCCTGGACTGATATCTTCCTAGAGGTCCCATCGGCTCTGTCAAGACTGAATAAACTGCCCAGTGCTCACCAGGAAATTAATAGCTTTGCCTCTTACTTGTGAGGTTACCCTTGGGGGCTTAATTGAAAGGAGCCCTGGTTCTGTCGGTCTTCTTCCTTGAGGTTAAAAAAACCCTTGGAATCTAAGTCTCCCTTTCTTTCAGATCTTCTCTGTCTCTTCTGGCCTCACCTTCTGTCTCTCTCCCTCTCTAATCTCTGTCCTTTCCTGTCTCTTGCTCATGTCTTTCTCCCTCCTTCTCTCACATATATATTTATATTTATACACCTATGTCACTTTTTCTTTCAATCTTTGTTTCTGCTTTTGTCTAAATCCTTCCCTCTCAGACTCCCAGTCTCTTTCTTAAGTCTCTGTTTTGTTCTTTCCCTCTCTCCCAATTTCTCCTTCTCATCACATACATAATTTTCATAAAAACTTTTACTATTTTACATTAGCTTTTAAATCTTCTTTCTATGTCCTTCAAAAATCTATAACCATACCTCAAATCTTCTATTATTTTAGAATATTTAGAAAAGGCAGAGGGAAGAGAGAGCAGGTCTAGCACTCTGTTCCCAGTAGCCGCTTGAATTTTAAACTGCCACATTCTTCCTACAGATAAAGATCTCAGATTCTGATAAGACTGAAAAGGGGAACAGGAGAATTTTAACTGCGCCTTTAAGTCCCCTAATAGAACACGGTGAAAAGTGTCCAAGCAGTCACGGGGGGGTTAAACCATGTTTTTACATTGTTTTAACACAATTCTAAATAAATTATAAACCCTTGTGATGAAGTTTACTTAAATCTATAAAGTAGATACACATGACTGAAACCAAAAATGATTCCTATAGTTTAAACAAAATACAAGATGCAGGTACAAGCTCAATTCAAGCTTATAATGCAATTAGAAATAATAACAACAATGGCATATGAGAAAAGCAAAACAAAACAAATTAATATGGCTATCATTTTTTTTTTTTACATTAAGAGAAAAATATATGACTTGGCCTACTTTTTCACAAGAGGCACACTATAAATTCCCAACAAATTTACTGAGGTCTGTATGAAACAATCTGGATAGGGCTCAAGCATCATATAGATTCCTCATCTGGCAAATGAGAATAAATTAATCCTTGAGATCTTTGATCATTACTGCTTATTCTTAACACATGTAATACAGTTTAGCCTGCCATATTCTAGGCATTTAGTTACTGCAATTAACTTTTTCTAATTTAATTTTTACTTAAGTAGCTATGACTCTGCTTAGCTGATATCAATGACAAAAACTAAACATTGTAAGCAAGGCCATGGAATTACCTGCCACTCCCTGCAGATCACATTAGCATTCAAAAGCAAATGAACACATTCTTTAGCTGAAGACTCCTAGCCTTTACCATTATCAACTAAGTAGTTTCCACCTCATGGTGGGGAATTTCAAAAGCTGCTTATAATGACTTGGGAAACCAGTTTTAATTTATCTGCTGCTTTCAGCTACTCAACTCCTGGAGGTGAATGGAGGCAGCTGCAGCCACATAAAGGGGCGGGCAAGGGAATTTCAGGCCTGACATCGAGTCTTCCTCAGGAGCCTCTAAAACAGGGGGTGCTGAGGGCGCCTGACTTGGCTTCTCTGCTCGCCTGTGGCCGGGCGAGTAAGACGGACCTGGGAGGTCTCTTTCCCAATTTTCCTTTGTCAGGGAGACAACCACACTCCTTCAGCCATCTGGGGTTATCAAAAAGAACATCAATCCAGATATCAGTGTATGGAATTTGGTCCGGATGCCCAGGGCTCCTATAGACTATCCGCCGGACTCCCGTGTAGGGCCCCATGTCTAGGGTCCCTGTTGAAGGCCAAGCAATCCCAAATGTCGGCCACTCCAATTCACAGAGTCTCTGGAGAGTGAAGGCATCTACAGAAACACCGTAGCCTTCACCTCGTTTTTAAGTCCGGAAAATTTTTAACCATGCATTCAAGGGGACTTAGGTGACTCTCCTTTGAGTTTCCTTGTCCCATTTTTCTCTTTCTTCCCAATTTATAAACAGTTAGGCAATAAATAATTCCAAAACAAACCCAAAAGAGTAAAAACAAAAACACTTTTACCAATTCCCACACACTCGATTGCGGCCGCACTCTCTCAACACTCACAACAATACTCATTCAGACCAGAACAACACCTGATTGCCAGGACTCGAACCCGACACCCAATCTGAAGCACAATTAACAGAAATGCCACAGACACGAGGACCCACCATGTCCACCTTGTCCGCCACAAACACACAA